ATATCGGCGGTAAAAGCGATTCGATTTAAGCGAAAATTAAGTAAAATTGACAGGAGGTCTTGCTGCAATTTTGGGCCAATCAAAAGAGCATCGTTAAGCGATAAATTGTTCGCGGTTCTAAAGGAAGCATTAAACACGACACGTAACTTAGATGTCACGACGGCATGATGAGGAATGTAATATGCGTTTTCATTGGGGTAAATATTTTTTAGTTCCTCCATATGCCCTTCTGACAGGTACTCACGCATAAAGTCTGAATACTGTGCGTATAAATCGGGGTTTGCGGAAAGTTTGCGTTCTAAGTTGTAAAAACATTTTAAGGCGGGAAAGCGAGAATTATTAAATTGCGGAGCGGTATTTTTAAATGGCAACGTAACACAGTAACGCCCGGCGGTATTGCGAGTATGTGTTTTAGTAAAAGTCGTTTCACAAAGTTTGTCATCATGGGAAATGGCCAAGGTTTTGGGTACTTCTTCAACATGCCAAAACATTTTAAGCGTATTATTTAGTTCGTCATTGGAAATCGTTAAGAAATTGTTGACTTGAGGAGCAGGTAAGCTGCCAATTTTTCCCATGAGAACCCAGCCAAAAATGGTGTTTAACGCGACGGGATGATGTTTAGAACCCTGAACGCGTCCTGGTAATAAAATGTATGGGAAAATCTCAGCACCTAACAGCATGTCAATATCTCCGGGAGAACAAAATTGCGGATCAGCGAGTTTTAAATTTGAAATGTGTGGCCAATCTGCCATAATGACAGAAGTTGGCATGTGGTTACAAATTTGCGGTAAAATTATGGCATCAAAGTCTAAATTCGAATTTTTATTATTTGCGGGGCGAATATGACATTCTGCGGAAAGTGTGGCGGAGACATTCATGGAACCTAGGCCTTTAATGGACAACGGCGATTTAGTAGATCGGAGACCGAGTTTAGTTGCGCATGATTGTGTAATTATGTTACACTGACTTGCGGAATCAAGTAAAATGCGGATTTTTTGATATTTATTGCGCGAATCTAATATTTCAGCGACAGCGGTTGCGAGTAAAATAGAGTGCGAAGCGTTAGAATTAGACAAGAGCGTAGCGGAGGTAGATGCGATAGCGTGCGATTGGGAAGATGCGGGATTAGAATTAATATTTTCTGTAAAATGAATAAGCGAGTGGTGTCTCTTGTTACATGTACGGCAAACATTTTCAGATCGGCAAGCAAACAATGTATGTTTCGAACTTAAACAATTGACACACCATTTGCGTGTCTTGATAAGTTCGAACCTATCACGTGGCGTTTTTTCCAAGAATTTGGGACATTTGTAAAGTAAATGATCAACATTGCATAGCGGACATAAATTGGTAGCGACATTATTTAGGTAACTATTTGTTTGACGCGGTTTGGAAAAACTATTATTTGGTGGCGGTAAAGATTTAGAAGTTTGCGGGGTTCTTTTAGGCGCAGAGGGAGCGCTGAAGGCAACTGCTTCATAGGCGGTACATTGTTTGGTAAGGAACTCCTCTAGTTCCTTAAAACTAGGGATTGTATCGACACTATCCCCTTGCTCCAGCTCAAAACGTGTGGATGTGGCGGTATCTAAGCGGGTTAACAACATTTGAAATAAAATAAAGTCCCATTTCGCGGTTGGAAATTTTAAATTTTTTAACGCGGCAATGTTTTCTGTAAATGTACTAATAAGTTGGCGGATCGTTTCGGGAGATGAACAATTTTCAGGAATTTTATTTGCGTTTTCAATGGCTCGCCAGTGTGCGGTGGCAAGAATCCGCCTGTTTTCGTATCGTTTTAACAAGGCAGCATAGGCAATCTTGTAGTTGGCCCCAGTTAACGGAAGCTGAGTAACAATAGCCAACGGAGAACCCACTAACGATGCACGAAGGTAGTTAAATTTTTCAACATTACTTAACGAGGCGTTGTCATGAACCATTGCTATAAACATATCAATAAATGTTTTCCATTCCCGAATTTCGCCCGAAAATTTTGGTAACTCTATGCGCGGAAGCCTTATATGGCTTGATATATTCGGAGTTACATTTGTGTTCGTTTGCGAAGCAAAAGAATCATTAGCGGAGGTGTCCGGTTCGTAATTTGAAAAGATACCCTGTATATAATAGTACATTTCCTCGAATTCGTTGCAAATTTTATGATGGGATTCTAAATCTGAACCCGCAGTATTAGCCAATTGAGCCAGAATAATGCTAGGTTGCTTAAAAAATGTTTGATACAAGGTTTTTACTTGCACATATCTTACTTTAAAACCACGACGTTTAACGTCACTGTCTTCAGCGGATTCGGCTGCTTCAAATATTGATTTCATTCGAATGACAACACTGTCACGCTGTGCAATGGCGGTATTTACTCTAGTAGCGGCAACGGTAGCCGTAGCGGTTGTATCTGTCATTTTTAAATTAGCTTAAAAAATATTTTAATGAAACTAATCGAAGCGATAGCGCAGTTTATTCCCCCCCAAAAAACGAGAAAAATAAACAATATTTTATTACGCGGTATTTATTTTTTATATTGGTATATTTTAAGTAATTTATAAAATATCCGAAAGCGATTAAATTTATATTAAATATAAATTTTATAAAAATGCGGGTAAAAAAACGAATGTAAACAAATATGCGGTGCGATGTCAACAATCAATGCGGTGATATTTAAATATTCAGCGACTGCAGCCAGGTGCTCTCTGCGAATAAACAAAATTACTGGCGTAAAGCGGTCAAACCAAATCTTGGAAAAATTTATGATTTTCCGTAGACTTCCTAGTACAAATATGTAACGCAAATTGTGGAGTCCAAGCCTTGTCACAATTATTAAATAAGTAATTTCTATTTAATAAATAAACACAACCTTAAACAATAAAATCATTAACTTAAATCAAATTAAGGTATTGCAATTTAAATCAGCTGTGCGCGTAAAATAAATTTCAAGGTCAAGGGCCGAACGAATGTCTCCTTCTACGAAATTATGAATGAACAAAATGGCGCTTATTGCCGGAACCCAGGCGAATAATTTAAAAAGATTTTTCGGTCAACAAACACCCCATCGGCTCAAAAAAAATGTTCGAAGGACCAAAATGGTAGGCAGTGGACTGTATAAATGTGAGAAATAGGGGATGGTGGTGTTAGTTGACTGAATTCTTTGACTAGATAAAACGTGGGCAGTAAGAATATTAATAAAGTCCTACCTTGTGGCTGGTGCTGATGACGACACTCAGGGCCCTGGTCTGGTTTCTGGCTGTCAGCGTTGGTTTCAAGCGGTTGAGATGCACAAGCGGGATAAAGCGGGATTAAGCGGGATAAAGCGGGTATAATGTCGCGTGGTAGATCACTCTTGCGCGGGGATGCTCGCCGTTCGAACTCTTATTAATTAATACACTTACGCCCTCACGCGGTTAAATGGGTAATTAAAATAATTGCAATAAACATGCGCGTTGGGGGGCAATAAGCTAAATATAATATTTAAATAAATGTAATAAAATTAAACAAATATCAAATATTTCGCGAAGACGAAACAACATGCATTGCTTATCTCAACTGTCATAGTAATAAATAAAAATATGTGGAATTATTAATATCATTTGTAAAATATATGTAAACAATAAATATAAAAACATTCTTGAACATAAAATAATTTGTAAGACATTTTTTATTAAAATTAATTTTGCACATGTTCTCAGTTTATTTGCACTTGCGCACATATATTCCAACATACAACATAACCATAAAAAGTCAATCGCTGTCAAAACGGACTTGAATATTCGCGTATTGATATTGCTGTTTTATGAATACCAAAGATCATTCATCGTTAATTCAAAAAGTGTTCTGCGACCAAGAAAATACAACTTTAAGTGTTCGTTACGAAATACTGGTAAATAATTGCAAGTTGTTTTTGAGCAAAATTTTTGAAACTTGACAAAAATTGTCATATAAAAATCTTGTTTTTCCAGGTCAATGGCACCGAAAACCAAAACCTCTGCTTTGACGTCCGCAGAGCGCCAAGCAAGATACCGGGAAAATCTAAAAAAAGGGGTTGACGTAATTCAAAAGAAAAAAGAAGCTCAACGGTCTCTGCTCTTCAGAAAAAACCTTGCTACAGATTTAAGGAAACTAAAAGACCATCGCGAAAAAGAAGATGAGAGAAAAAGAGTTTCAAGAAAGGCTTTATCGCAATCTGATTCATCAATGAATTCAGAAAAAATTCGCATTTTCAGAAAAAATTCGCAAAGGATCGAATGAACAAACAAAAGCAAATTTGCAACAATTTTATCTTTCTTATCAAATTTCGTGGCAATATCCAAATATGAAGGATATACTCATTTTGAGACATCACGATGAGAATGGAAGGATACAAAAGCAGTACATCCCCAAACGATATATGTTAATATCTCTTGTTGAGGCACACCAAATGTACCTGAAGGAGCACAAAGATCAACCCGTTGGCCGCTCATTATTTTGTGAGTTGAAGCCCAAAGAAATCTGCTCAAGGTGTATGCGTTTGTCGATATCACGAAAATGTGCGCCTTATCTTGAATGCCATGCATCCTTACACTCAAGTTCCACGATCCTTCAAGGAATTTATCGCACTTGTCACCTGCGATCAGAGTAAAAAAGATTGTATGACCAACAAAGGCGACCAGTGTCGTGACAAGATCGATGAACTCAATCCCCGAAATTTCGTTATTAACGCTTCTGTGATTTCACCAAGTTGCGAGCAATGGACAAGCCAACCACTTCAGAAAAAAATAATGGATTGGGATTTGCAACAATGTTTTCAACATCTAACGGATCAGCTACGTTATTTTCTGGAACACTCGTATGTAAAGCGAGCGCAAGCAAAATTTTTTGAAGACACCATTGCCAGCGTCGATGGAAAATAAATTGCACTGCAAGTTGACTTTGCTGAGAATTACGCTTTAAAACAACAAAATAAAATACAAAGTGCGCATTGGTGTCACCAGCAATGCACAGTTTTTACAGCTTATGCTTAGATGTCCGCTAAGGAAGCGCAGAGTTTCGCGTTAGTTTCGGATGAATTCACGCATGAAAAAATCAGCGTTTATAAATTCATCGAACGGCTACTTGAACTAATTACCGAAGATTACGATGAAGTGGCTGAAGTAAAAATATTTCCAAACGGAGCCGCTAGCCAATTCAAGCAAAAGTACCTTTTTTCGAACCTGCATGTTTTTGAAGCGCGCTACGACATTAAGCTATCTTGCCACTTTTTCGCATCAGGTCACGGAAAAGGGGTGGTTGATGCCATTGGAGGAAGAATTAAAGGTTCGGTGTGGAGACGACAAAAAGCGGAGCTGTGGTAAATACTGCTGAAGAATTCACATTTACATATAGCTCAAGAAGCATACCCTAAGATTCACGTTAAGTTTCTAAGCAAAGCAGACATTGATGTTAATTAATTAATTAATTAAGACCGCCTATTTTAAAATTTAAAAAAAATGCCGTGTTTATTTAAAAAGTTAAGATATTTTTATTGCAATAAAGAGGGAAGACATGGAGGTTAAATATGGAACACAATATCCGATAAATAACCGCCTCGTGACTGACGGCACACGTTGATTCTTTTGACAAAATTTTCGATTACATTTTGGCATAGTGCCGGCTCAATTTCATCAATGACCCGTCGAATCTCATGTTTTAGTTTAGGAACTGTTCTTGGGTTATTAGCATAAACCTTTTCCTATAAAAAAACCCCAAATAAAGAAATCTAACGGCGTCAAATCGCATGATCGGTCTGGCCACATCACATCCTCGCGGCGCGAGATAACTCTGCCTTCAAATTTTGTCCTCAATAATTCCATGGTTTCGTTGCTGTGCATGGTCTGCTGTCTTTAAATATTGTGTCAACCGAATATTTTACGCATGAAAATGCAGGTCTTTGGCCAAAATTCGCTGTAAACTGCTTCGAGAGAGTCTCAATTGATGCGAACGGTGGCGAATTGAGGTGGAAGAATTATGTTAACACTTTCACTAACTGCTGCAATATTTTCAGCAGACCGAGATGCACGAACATGGATATGTCTCTTTTTGGTTTGAATTGACCCAATCGTTTCAAATTGCTCGATTATAATCGGACCACAGTACGGCGAGAAGGTGCGTTATGGTGACCAAAAAATCCTTTATATCTTCAAACCGTTTCCGAAAAATTATCACCGTTTCGATAGTGGATTTTTACAATTTTTATGCGTTGTGCGTCTGTGTAAATCTCCATGACTTAACCTCAATGTTCACACATGACCACTGTCCAACCTCAACGCTATACGATTGACACAAAAAAATGACACTAAATTTAAAATAGGCGGTCTTAATGGGACACCCTTAGATCAGCGTTGCCGAAGAATCTAATGTGCATAAAGACAGGCGCATCGCTGTCCGCATGAAGTAATGAAGTTCGCGTGTATGCATATTTTGTGTACTTTTTTTAGATTTCAGTAATTTTAGTTGAAATCGCTTCGTTTTTACATTCATATTGATAAGTTGTAACAATTTGTATCTTTAATTATGAGTATTATTTAGCAATACTAGTTTAAACGTTCAAAACATGTAATTAATAAAAAATGTAAAAAAAATACATTTATTTAAACATGTTCTCTTCTTTTTCATATATTCTTCAACAATTGAATCTAACTTACGGGTACGAATATGAAACGTAAACACAGGGAATACAAAATGCGTGTCTTCGGTGTCCGTACGTTACGCTTTTTATACTGGTACTTTCATTTTCTTTTGAGTATTTTTACTGCTCACATAAGCGTATTTCATGGAAAATTTACTGCTCTTTCAGATGGCGTCAAGCGTTTTTGTGTTAAACTTAAATAAGTAATAGTTATTTAAACATTTATACGGTAAAATGCGTCCGAATGTCCGTACGTTACGCGTGGAAATGCTCTATACATAATCTTAAAAGTCACGAATTTGAGGTTTTAAAACAGTTTGAAATTTTTGAGGGTACCAATATTTGAAAACTAAATATTATCAAAAATCATTTAAGAATGAGCTTTATTCTTCAACGATTTTGCTTGCGAGAATATGACATTCATACACCGAAAATCAAAAAAATAAATTACATGTAGTATGCTCCACACCTCAAAGTCCCACCACGTGACCAGTGGTCACTGACCACGTACGGAACGCAGTCTTTTGAAAATTTGGCATATAAGGCTTTTATTATTTATAGTGTTACCTCTTATGTTTAAGCGTTAAAATTTAATAGTACCAACAATGGTTGGTTTAAGAATTTAGGAATATAAATACTGCATTTAAAAAATTCCAAAGTGTAAGGTGCAATATAAGTGATATTTTTGTGCATTGGGTCTACATTTATCCATAAAATAGTTTTAACTAAACAGCATTTATTAAAAAAAATCTAACTTCTCTATTATGAAATAAGAATATCTGTATCAAAGGTAGGTTAATATATTAGAACAAAAAATATCATCTAATTTTGTATTTTAATTTTAGGAAAATCTATTTTGACCAAAATAAATAAGTGGATTATTTGGAAGAGTGTGTTAATATGGTCATAAATATATATAGGTATAATAAAAAATTGTTGAATATGGTTTAAATTAAATTGAAGCTTTTATACTTCTAACGACAAAACTTGTGCATACCTCTTGTCATACCTACTTTAAGTTATAATAGAGAAGCTAGATTTTTTTAATAAATGCTGTTTAGTTAAAATTATTTTAAGGAGAAAACCAGATATTTGGACCAAATGCACAAAAATATTACTTATTTGGCTCCATGGTAACTTTTACGTAACGTTAAACCTGGCAACAGTGCTGATTGTTTGTGCCAAATTAGGTGTAAATAATAGTGAAATAAGACTGTTTAATAGTGAAATAGACCTTTGGAATCGATAAATGAACCAAATAAACAAATAAAAAAAACGGCAAGTTTGTTCTTATAAACAAGTACAAAAACACAATCTGTGAATTTGAAAGTTATATTTTGATCTGTCCCGTGCACCCGAACAATTGCGGCGTTGTCACTGTTACTGTTTTTACTCAGCTTGAAAAAATTATACAGAAATTACTTAAGATGATTAAGTGTTCGTGCTGCAATGTGGATACCGATGAAGCTAAAATTGTTACATGTTGTATATGCCAAAAACCCTACAAAAATACATGTGTTGGAGTCACCGCAACAGAACTAAAGATCTTATCTTTAAAGTCCTGCATTGCCTATACTTGTAGGCAAGTATATACCGAATAGGGAGAAACCAAGGCCTATACGATTAACATTGGATAATATTGATCAGGTTCACAATGTAATACAAAAAGCGAAATCCTTAAAAGACTCTACCCTAAAACATATTGGCATATCTTTTGATAAAACTCCAAAGAAAATGGAACATTATTCTCAATTGCGTAAGGAAATGGATGAACGGAAAAATAATTTATATATAAAATATGAAAGAGGTGTTTCAAAAATTATGGTGAAAGCGGAAAACTAAATACTCCCAACAATTTTCAATCCAATATTCCTTTAAATATATATTATCAAAATGTGCAAAGTTTAAGATCCAAGGCTGACGAATTTTATTCTGTTTGCTCAGTTTGTGATTATGACATTATTCTTCTAAGTGAAACATGGCTATCTCAAGATATATCTAGCTTGGAGTATTTTAATAACCAATATCGTGTTCTTAGAAAAGATAGGCAGTTCGATAAGGTAAATCTTACACGTGGAGGAGGTGTGTTATTTGCCTGCAAAGAATACATTAATGTAACCGAATTAGATCTAACCAATATAACAAATGAAATACCTATACTTGATATAATTGGTTGTAGAGTTAAAATCAATTCTGTAATAACTTATTTATTTATTGTATATATTGTACCTGATATGTCTGTTAATAGCTTTGAATTTTTTCTTGATGAACTTAGCAATCTATTGTCTAACCTTAATGAGGAAACTATTATTGTCGGTGATTTTAATGTAAATTCTAATTTAAAATTAAACTTATTTAATGACTTTATAAACTTTAATAATTATAAACAATTTAATGATATCCTAAATAACTATAACAGAACTCTAGATCTAGTTTGTAGTAATGTAAATGAAATATGTGTTACTCATGATGTACCATTCGTTCCTGAAAATTTGCATTATCCAGCTTTAAACATATCTATATCTCTTAAAGCCAGCACTGTTCATGAGTTTACTGTAAATATTAATCAAGCCAAGACTTACAATTATAAAAGGGCTAATTTTGTTCAATTGTATAACGATTTCTTACAGGCAGACTGGAATTTTTTAAATAACGAAACAGAAATTAATGCAGCATGTGATAAATTTTATTCAAAAATATATTCATTTCTTGATAAAAACGTCCCTACATATAAAACATCAAACAAAAAACACCCACATTGGTATACCATTGAAATAAAGGAAATTCTAAAACTACTACCATAGGCGGTACAAAAAACAAAAATCTGCTATAAATTACCATAACTTTAAAAATGTCGCGTTCAATACTAAAATCAAAAATAAACCTAGCTTATAAGCAATATATCTTAAATGTTCAAAATTCTGTCATACTAGAGCCTGACAAGTTTTGGAACTACCTAAGAACTAAAAAAGGGATGACCCGTATTCCGGGTGTTATGTGCAATGGCGACGCACAATTTGATGTTCCTGAACAAATTGTCGAAGCATTCAAAACCTATTTTAGTAGTGTGTATACAGAGCCAACAAATGATTATATAGATTTAACTTTTAATGATAATGCTTCCCATTTAAATAAAATTATAATTAATGAAAATGACATATTGAAATCAATTAATAAATTAGCAAATAAAAAAACTTCAGGTCTAGATCAAATACCTAGTTACCTAGTAAAAGACTGTAAACACATATTTCTTAAACCACTACTAAAATTGTTTAACCTATCTTTGAATAGCTCAACTTTCCCAGACATTTGGAAAACTGCTAGGATATGTCCGGTTCTAAAAAATGGAGACCCAAGCCAAATTCGGAACTATATGCCAATTGCAATTTTAAATAATTTTTCGAAGGTTTTTGAGATGTCAGTTTATATGCATGTCTACTCCCATGTATGCAATCTTATAACTCCGTATCAACATGGATTTGTAAGTTCGCGTTCTACAGTTACAAATTTAACCTGTTTTTCACAATATATATGTAATATTCTTGACAATCAAGGGCAGGTTGATGTCGTGTATACTGATTTCGCGAAGGCTTTTGACAGAATTGACCATCGAGTTGTATTGAGTAAGCTAAGGACATTTGGACTTACTGAAAATTTAATATGTTTTTTTAAGTCATATTTAAAAGG